ACCAGGCCATTGAAGTAGCCCTTAAGGAATAATCCTATCTGGAATCCGAAAGGATAAGGAAGGGCCAAAAACCAAAGTGTAGTCGAGTGATGGCTATTGAAGACAGGGACGAGAGTGAAAATAAATTAATGGCCTTAGAGAATAAGATTGAAACTCTGATGGAGAAAATGACGGAATTAATGTCAAAACAGAACAAGCCTGAGCCTGAGATGTCAAGGCCAGCTTTCAAAAGAATAGAATGTTTTTACTGCCACAAACCTGGACATAAAATAGCGGAGTGCTTCTCTAGAAAACATGCTGAAGAGCGGGCTAAGGAAGCCCAGGACAGCTCCAGCCAGGTAGCCACAGTTGAGTTTCTATCCCATCAGGGTAAAGATGTCAAGGCTTCCAAACACACCAATAAGATAGTGGCTCATGGAACAGTCTGCAACACAGATGTTGCGTTTCTAGTTGATTCAGGAGCAGCTAGTACCATAATAAACTCGGAGGTCTACCGAAAGATCCCTGAAATTAAGAAGCCAAAACTGGAGCCGTCAAATAGGGTCATTATACAAGCTGGTGGAGAACCATTAAGTCAAAAAGGTGTTATGTGTGTTGGAATAAACATTGGTGGCCATGTCGAGAACTTAAAAGTAGTAGTGGCAGATATTGAATTCGATGGCATCTTAGGTACTGATTACCTTGCTGCTGCAGGAGCCATATTAGACTATGGTCAGCGTAAGATGTCTATGAGATCAGGCCCTTCTAGAGATGCTCAGGTACGAGCTAGAGACACACATAAACGAACATCGAGGAAAGTGACTATGGATGTAGTAAGTAGTCATCCAGTCAGAGAAAAGAGATATGGCCAGAGAAGTAGACTTAGAGAATTTCCTCGAAGACCGAGAGATTTTGGACAGAATAGTCCAGGTACATCCAGTACTCGTCCAATTAAGGTCCCACCAGCAAGAGTCTATAGGTTGAAATACTCAGGACCCCGACAGAGATGTGACACAGATTATGATTGGAGGAATCATCGTGTTTGCCTCCCATAAACACTAATTCGGAAGCACAGTCTTGAGTAATATTAAGTATGTCGAGGCAATTAGCATGAGTATAATTTTGTGATGAGTATGAATTGCAGTTAGCTGCAATTTGAAACTTGTGAAGATAATTTTGTACATAGTAGTTAGACATACAGTAGTTAGATTTTTATCGTTAAGGTTTGAGATAAACCAGAGTTTATGCTAGATAACTCTCATTGCACCTCATAGCGACTGATAGATAACCCCGGGGTTAAACAAACCAGATAGATTATAAGTGTAGGACATAGCCAGTTAGGAAAAATTCGTTATTTTTTTTATAACATAGGCTTGGTGCTGTTAACACCAAAATCATTGGTTGGGAGGAGTGTAACGAATTTTTCATTTTTCAAAATTTTATTTTTGGAGTCCAGTACCGTTTTACACTTTAGACAGGTTTGACAGTAGGAAAGTGTTTCCCAGTCACAGTTGACAGCTTATATAGTTATATTTATGAATAGAACACTTTAGGTGTACTGGGAATAGTGTAAACTACTCTTTTCTTGGAGATTTATTTTGCTTTCGTTCGTGTGCATTTTCTCACCTCCTATTAGAGAGCTCTGTTGACCTACATTCAATAACTCGTTTTTCCTTGCAATTTCGCCATAATTAGAGCCAATGATGATTGATTTTTGTTATATTTATCTAGTTTATATCTTAATCTAGCTAGTTAATTACAAGATATATGTTTGTTCTGTGTTAAAAAACAGAGATCGTGATTGTTAGGTGAAGCTAATTTTCTGCAAAAGTTATGTCATCATTGCATCATATTAATTAATTATGCACTAGTGATATCCTGCCTGGGATTCCAGTGACTGGCCAGGTATTGCATCAGCCGCTCGTGAGCTATGATTGGTTAGGCAGATAGTTTCGTGTGCAAAACACATGTTACATACATGTTGGGGTATAAATACAGTGGCGGACGTGACTCGGGGGCTTCTGACACACTGACTTTTGACGAACGGGACTATGTGGCTCTGATATTCGGGAGTTTTGGAACTACAAAACTTTGTCGTTTTTGCTAACTGCAAAACTTAGATGATTCGTGGAACTACAAAACTTAGGAAGTTTCTGCTAACTGAAGAACTTAATCAATTCATGGCATGGATGATTGACTTGCCTATTGAACTTCATTAGCCTGATGTAGTAACCATAGATGATTATAAGCCACTGATGTTGGAATCTAGATGAATAAACTGGCTTATTGAGGGAAGCAATTGGAACTACAAAACTTAGGAAGTGTTTCGCTGACTATTAGCCCGATAGTCCTAGATGATTATAAGCCACTGATGTTGGAATCTAGATGAATAAACTGGCTTATTGAGGGAAGCAATTGGAACTACAAAACTTAGGAAGTTTTCTGGAACTACAAAACTTAGGAAGTTTTTCGCTGACTATTAGCCCGATAGTCCTAGATGATTATAAGCCACTGATGTTGGAGCAGATAGCACATTGACTTTTGACGAACGGGACTATGTGGCTCTGATTTACGGGATTTTTGGAACTACAAAACTTAGGCAGTTTTCTGGAACTATAAAACTTTGTCATTTTTGCTATCTGCAAAACTTAGTTGTTTTTCTGCTATCTGAAGAACATAGTCGATCTGCTACATGGGATGACTGACTATTGACTATTGACTATTGACTTTTCTTAGCTTGATGAAGTAGCAACAGATGATTATAAGCCATTGATGTGAAAATCTGGATGAATTTATTGGCTTATTAGAGGAATTTTTGGAACTACAAAACTTAGTCGATCTGCTACATGGGATGACTGACTATTGACTATTGACTATTGACTTTTCTTAGCTTGATGAAGTAGCAACTGATGATTATAAGCCATTGATGTGAAAATCTGGATGAATTTATTGGCTTATTAGAGGAATTTTTGGAACTACAAAACTTAGTCGTTTTTGCTATCTGCAAAACTTAGCTGATATTTTGGATCTACAAAACTTAGAAGTTTTCTGCTATCTGAAGAACATAGTCGATCTGCTACATGGGATGACTGACCATTGACTATTGACAATTGACTTCACTTAGCCTGATGAAGTAGCAACTGATGATTATAAGCCATTGATGTGAAAACCTGGATGAATTTATTGGCTTATTAGAGGAATTTTTGGAACTACAAAACTTAGTCGTTTTTGCTAACTGAAAAACTTAGCTGATATTTTGGGTCTACAAAACTTAGAAGTTTTCTGCTATCTGAAGAACATAGTCGATCTGCTACATGGGATGACTGACCATTGACTATTGACTATTGACTTCTCTTAGCCTGATGAAGTAGCCATTGATGATTATAAGCCATTGATGTGACAACCTGGATGAATATATTGGCTTATTAGAGGAATTTTTGGAACTACAAAACTTAGTCGTTTTTGCTAACTGCAAAACTTAGCTGATATTTTGGATCTACAAAAGTTAGAAGTTTTCTGCTATCTGAAGAACATAGTCGATCTGCTACATGGGATGACTGACCATTGACTATTGACTATTGACTTCTCTTAGCCTGATGAAGTAGCCATTGATGATTATAAGCCATTGATGTGACAACCTGGATGAATGCATTGGCTTATTAGAGGAATTTTTGGAACTACAAAACTTAGTCGTTTTTGCTAACTGCAAAACTTAGCTGATATTTTGGATCTACAAAACTTAGAAGTTTTCTGCTATCTGAAGAACATAGTCGATCTGCTACATGGGATGACTGACCATTGACTATTGACTATTGACTTCTCTTGGCCTGATGAAGTAGCCATTGATGATTATAAGCCATTGATGTGACAACCTGGATGAATTTATTGGCTTATTAGTGGAATTTTTAAAACTACAAAACTTAGTCCTTTTTGCTAACTGCAAAACTTAGCTGATATTTTGGATCTACAAAACTTAGAAGTTTTCTGCTATCTGAAGAACATAGTCGATCTGCTACATGGGATGACTGACCATTGACTATTGACTATTGACTTCTCTTAGCCTGATGAAGTAGCCATTGATGATTATAAGCCATTGATGTGACAACCTGGATGAATTTATTGGCTTATTAGTGGAATTTTTGGAACTACAAAACTTAGTCGTTTTTGCTAACTGCAAAACTTAGCTGATATTTTGGATCTTCAAAACTTAGAAGTTTTCTGCTATCTGAAGAACATAGTCGATCTGCTACATGGGATGACTGACCATTGACTATTGACTATTGACTTCTCTTAGCCTGATGAAGTAGCCATTGATGATTATAAGCCATTGATGTGACAACCTGGATGAATATATTGGCTTATTAGAGGAATTTTTGGAACTACAAAACTTAGTCGTTTTTGCTAACTGCAAGACTTAGCTGATATTTTGGATCTACAAAACTTAGAAGTTTTCTGCTATCTGAAGAACTTAGTCGATTTGCTGCGTGGGAATCTACAGGACTGGACAGCACTTCAAGAGGGTGAAGCTATCCCCAGCATAGAGCTTAAAGAAGTGGTGTCCAGCCTTCATAAACCTAATTCATGGAATTGGATGTTCCTTTCTTCGCCTTGGTCCTAGTCAGTGTTTTATTCATAGTGACCTGTTTGATCGCGATTATATGCATCCGTGTGTGTATGAGGACTGAAGGGGACTCTACTAACCAGGAACCTCAAGTAACCCTTGCACCTAGGCCAGCATTGCAGTCATCATTGGGATTCAGTTTGGCCACTGTGAACTTTGAATAGAATTCTACTTTGAACTATTATTGTACCAGAGAGTGGACGTATATAATTAACAACAACAAGTTTATTTGGACATTCTGAATTTATTTGTGTATAATTAATGTTATAATATATGCGAAATAAATCTATATTGTTTGTCGTGTTGTAATTGCTGTAAAACACAAGTACATTTAACGTGTACCAGGAAATCCCAAAGTAACCTAGCCCTCACACTACCACAAATCGGCTAGTTTGTTACAATATGTTTCAATAGAGCTATATGAGAGTTACAACAACCCAGTAGATATGAGCATGAAAAAAGATGTATGCATAGTGCATACTAGTAGTCTCTGTATAATTAAATTGGCAATCCATCTACTTCATCTTAGTTATTAAACGTATTTTCAAAAATTACATCACGATTAAAAGACATCATAGTCCATTTGTCATTTTCTGAACGTATTAATATTTAAAAGTATGATGTTTTTCTGTGTAAATACTATCATTAGGGATTATTGGAGTGATTTAGCTGGGTTGCCAAAAAAATAACTTTGGGGAAAAATTTTGTATCTATTCCCATGGTAACATACTAGGTATATGGTGATATCCCAATGCTAAGTCATAGTCAACGCCATGTTAAGCGATTGCACCCCTCCCTAATCAGCCTATATCATTTTTTCCCCAAACAAACTTTTTCGGCAACCCAGTTAAATCACTTCAGAAAACCCTTATTATCATAAATCGACCATAAAACATCGTACTTTTAACAATTTCTAGGTTCACTATTGGATGTATATGGATGACAAATGGACTATCATGAAGGTCAGATATTGATATTTCAACACGATGGTGCTCTCACACAGACCAGTTGATGACGTCACTTTTTGGAGGAGAATCTTTGTGAGTTGATACAGCCTGATGCCAATCCTGATAATAGACTAAGTCCTGGTGCACTTCGATCCCTGTGAATATAGGGTTTTGATCAGATCTCCCGGAGACCAGGTGTATAAGCACCCAATCACAGGCACCGGACAACTCTACCCTGTACTCTGTTCCGGTGACTGCGGCTCAACTAAAGCGGGCAGGTAGGTGGGAATTAAATAAAATATTCAAAAGTTGTGGCGAGTTTTTGACCACCCTGTAATTTTATATTAAATGCTGATATCCATGTAAATCTGCATATGTAAATATAACTCCCATATATCTCCCATCTCACGACTGTTAACGTTGTCTTTGATATTTTGTAAGACTCATATTTAGTTAAATGAGCGACCTATACTAGTAGATAATTTGCTATTTTAGCTGCTTCCTTGTTTGAGCTGTCTGTACGTTTCTCTTTATTCCTTCAGTAGATGACCTTGACCTCAAGTGCACATTTGTGTTTGTTGGGAGTTGTAGATGACCTTGACCTTAAGTGCACATTTATCCTTATTGGGAGTTGTAGATGACCTTGACCCTAAGTGCACATTTGTCCTTGTTGGGAGTTGTAGATCTCTTTGTGGCTATTTCTTATGTTCTGTGTATCTTTGTCAGTGTTCTTAGGTTTGGTGATTCTAAAAGAGGCATCCAAAAGCTGATGGTATAGCCATGATGTTAAGCTTAAAGTCGATTGACAGTCACACAGCAAAATTATGTGTCTGTTGCTTTTCAATCTTGCAGGGGATGTTCCAAAACCAAACCCAGTGTGCAAACCTCTCCTTGGTAAATGTTCTCTCTTCTAGCAATTGGTTTGCAGATGTAGATAAAATGTATATATTTGCTTGTGTTCTATAGGGGTTCTATATAAAAGCATAACGTCCTTGCAATGATGGCCATTCATCCAGGAACCAAGAGTTTTCATTTGTGTTCATTTTTTCTCAATTGCACTTTCTATTTTGAAAGTGAATTTGGCAGTGAGGAGAAAATGATCTGATGCCAGTTTATCTTTGAACATGTACCGTAACTTAGTGTGGGTCTTCTTGTCTTCATCGCTCATTTTAGATGGGTCATTAAGGTCCATTGATGCACCTTTACCCTTTCTCATTAGAACTGGATAAACAGTGACACCATCTTTGCACTCCAACGAAGTCGATGCAAATATGGCATCCAATTTCGAGTAACCCAAGGGTTGTTTGTATACCATTTCAGCATTCGTGTCAGTGGACCATGGGTTGAACGTGCCGATTTGTTCTGGATCAATTACATCATCCATATCGGGAATGGTCATCTTTTTTAAAGGTATTTCTCTGAGGGAAAGTGACTTGGCATATTTGTTGATCAACTGAAATGTACCGTCCTCTCGCTCATCGTTAAATATGTTAAAGTCACCAGCCAAAATAACCGGACAGTCCTCGCCAGTGATATCACACGCCATATTTGCCAAACTTAAGCTCGCCATCTGCTGGGCTGCCTTCGTCTGACCAAATGGTACAACGTGTACGGAAGCAATAAGAAGCTTTTTAGAGGTCTTCTTGTGCTCTAAAACTACTACCCCCACACATCGCCCATGGGGATCTCCTTTAATATTTTCACTTTCATTCTTTTCAACCCTAGCGTTTGGATCAGAACTTAGCATTGGTTTTCTGGTATTCTTATCAATCGTCGTCCAATAATGTTTGGAACTTATATCCTTCCACTCGCAATGAATATCTTTCCGGACACATATTAAGCTATGGAAACTCATTCCATCCTTATTATTATAGAAATGGTGAACATTATACTTTTCTCCTTTCCTTTCCTTGATAATCTCTAGATTTTCCGGAAATCGAATTTCTTGTAGATTGACAACATCTGCTTCTTGCTTCTCAATTTCGTCAAATTGGACTCCAAATCGTTGTTCAAAGCCATATTCTTCTCCATGTTTCTCCTTCACTTTCCAAGCATGTGTGTCACAACTGACGTCCATAGATGCCACTTTGATACACGGTTTAGCCATATTGTAGTTTTGTTTACAACCCTGAGCATGAGAAATGTTGTAAGGCCTGCTCTGAAAACATAAAAGAATGATGTTAAGAAAATGTTTTCCGTTGATGATCTTATAATTTTCAAATCCACTCGACTGGTGATTAAATCCAAAGAAGTGTATGTGTCAAATTGTCCAAAAAATCTTACCAATTTATATTTGTGCCCAATTTAAAATATGCTTGTAGCTCCATCTTCCTTAAAAGAAATCAGTTTTAGATTGCCTATCCAACTTGCAAACATATTTCTAAGAGGTATTTACTGGTACATTCTATTTATTTACACACGTTTTTTTTCAAAAGACACAGCGCTTAGTCATGTTAGTTATATATGAAAAGTATTTGAATGCCTTTCTTGACAGAATTTTAAACGCCCTTAATAATAAATTATCACTTATCTTTAACACGGTTTTTAACAACGGTTGAAAGATTCAAATATCGAAATGATTTATTGATTATATTAGTTCTAAAGTACAAAGCAGACATAGTTTTCTTTTAAGGCGCTAAGTTAAAGGATATGAAAGATTGTGCATACACTTTGGCATGCATACCATATTTTATATCACATCGAAAATAGGCGAGGGCCAGGAATGTTAAAGATACATTGGCACGAGGTGCTGCATAATGACAATCTAAGCTACATAAACTGTATAATACATGTACCTTTCTCTATGTATGATGCGCTAATTCTAGTTCCAGTATAATGATCCTAAGAATATTGTTTAGAAACTACTCCCTTGTCATATCATTAACTTTATGAATTTAACGATTTAGCAATGGATTCCTCTCGACCCAGTTTACGTGGCAAGAGACGCCGATCGTTCAATGTCCTCGATTTTTTGGCTTGTAACTTAGCACTCGAAATTCTGTTAAAACACAAATGTATTGTATTGTTATTTTGAATGTTATCTTTAACTGTGTAGTTTTAAAGTGCACACTGCATTTGTATTGGTTAGAACTGATGCCTGAAGTGTTTAAAAACTAGAGGCAGTTATAATGTACACATGATTTTATCGCACTGTTTAAAGTGATACTATATTGTCGTCGTCTTGAGCTGCTTGGCGGGCGAGCACGATTTTAATATTGTCATCGAATTTCAAAGGAAACTTGATTTACTGTTCAACTTGAAATTTTTACGATGTAAGTGCAGACTAGTGCCAATATATCATTAGGTTCTAGGCATTTGTAATAAATTACTTGGCAGTAAGATTGAACTAATAAAAATGTGAGCAACATTTTGTCATGTTAATGCCTTGTATAAAAGTTGGATTGTATGTGTCATTGCCACTTAAAAACACCATTCGCTCACCCTGTAACAAAATTGGTCTTAGAATTATTATTAGAAGTAGTTATCCACGAAATATTAATTGAAAGCAAGCTGGTTACCTTACGGGAAGTTTATCAAGACGGAAACGAACAAAAACTGGAAAAGATTAAAAAAAATACCAGAACTGTAGCTGCTGCAACATTTTATGTTCGGGATAGAGGAACTGGCGGTTTGCGACTAAAGAATCGATGTTTGCGTTGCGAGAACCGTGGTAAGTGGAAGTCTAGGAGGCCTGAACTGGCAAAGGCAGGCTCTTAGCCATGATTTGCCAAAGGAGAGGGTTCATTTTTTGAAAAATTCCAGGGGGGTTCACTTTTGACAACTTTGGCCCAAAATCATTTGAATCGTGCTCAGAGCCTCGGAATAGTGAAAGACTGCATGATTTTAATTCTAAAAGAATTTTGGGCCAGTGGGGGGGGGAGGGGTCGCGCGAGTCAAAGCTTTCAACTAGTGGAAAAGTTGGATCAACAGTTTCAAAGAAGTCTACATCATTAAAAGATACACGTGGATCAACATCTTCAGAGAATTCCCTCTGCAATTAAAAGAATATACCCCATAACAGTATATACTTTTTGAAAATCCATAAAACTGGGAATAGCACACTGCAGGGCAAATTGATGAGGTATGGAGACACAACAAATCTGTCGTTTGAATTGTACAAAATAAGTCACTGGCTGGCCTCGATTGTTCAAGAAGATTTTCCTATGAAGTAGTGAAAGCTCCACATTCCACGTATGATATAATTTGTCAACACCTCGGGCTAAGTGATGAAGTATTTGATGTGCTCAAGCCAGAAGGGAAGGCAAGTATTGCAATGTTACGAGACCCAACATATAATTTTATCTCGGCATTTGAATATTACAGAACAATGGGAAAGAACTGCTTTGGTATTGACAATATAGATTTTCTCTCAACTATGGAAAGTTCAACGAACAAAATACCAATAACTGAATCTAATGAAGTGTGTGTGCATATACAGTTATTTGACCTAGGAATGGAACCAACGTATGCTAAAAATATTACTAAGGTTAAGAAGATAATTCAGGAAATGGACAGGAGATTTGACCTTGTGATGATATCAGAATACTTCGATGAATGTTTAATATTGTTAAAACAGCTAATGAACTGGTCATTTGATGACATTGTTTATTTCAGTAAAAATGTCCAAGCTAAGAAAACAACTGGAATAGAAGCTTCAAATAAAAAGCATTTTAAAGCTCTTTTCTTCTATCTCATGGTTTTATTATTATTGGTTATAGGGGGGGGGGGGGGGGTGCGATCGCACCCATTGCACCCCCTGGCGACGCCTATGCTAAGCAGAACCCATTCATCCCTGAAAATTTGAAATTGATCTACCAAACGGTTCACCTGAAAACGCGAAGACAAGACTTTACAGATAAGATTTTAGGACGGAAAAATCCAAAATGGCCGACAATAAAAAAGTGATTATGAGTTTTTGCTGATTTATTTTTACAAAATATCACATGTAATTACTGTTAACAATAGTACACCTGAAAGTACACCTGAAATTATTTATAAAGCTACAAAATAGTTGAAGTATGAAAAGTGAAAAACACCATTCAATATGATACAAAGTATTATCGTGCGCTAACTTTTCTTAAACATTCAAAATGGCTGATATGACTGAGCTAACAGGTCCAAAACCTAATCAGATCTAGAATGAAGTGAGCTGACAAGATATTAAAGTTTCAGAAGCAACTGTGAAGCCATTTTGCAGACAAGGATTTTAGCATTTGACTTCAAAATGGCCGACAGGAAGTAGGTATCGATTTAAATTTTTTTCATCCACATCTAGATGCACTCATAAGTTATCCCTGAAAATTTGAAGGTGATATCTGTAGCGGTTTTGGAGAAAACTGCCGGACGTACGGACAGACGGACATACGGACAGACGGACAGACAGACAGACGCGCCTAGGCCGACAATATGGCCCCAAACTATGTGGTGGGGACATAATAAAAACGAACACAAACTTGTGGTTAAATATTATATTATTAGGTACAATAAAAGTACAGTAAAAGGAGCAGAAGCTTCATCGATGCATACCAAATAATTCAAACTACTCCCTATATATATACCTGACAATGCAAATTGCCGTAGATATACAATGTATATACCTGATAGTGCAAACAACTCCTATATATATAACTGATAATGCAAACATAATTTTGATAGATACTTGATAATACAAACAATGCATAGATATATCCTTGACAATTGCAAACCACGTAAAGATAGATACCTTATAATACAAATTGCACATGGATAAATACCTGATGATGCAAATCACGCATAGATAAATACCTGATAAAACAAACCATGCATAGATAAATACCTGATAATGCAAACCATGCATAGATAAATACCTGATAAAACAAACCATGCATAGATAAATACCTGATGATGCAAATCACGCATAGATAAATACCTGATAAAACAAACCATGCATAGATAAATACCTGATAATGCAAACCATGGATAGATAAATACCTGATAATGCAAACCATGGATAGATAAATACCTGATAATGCAAACCATGGATAGATAAATACCTGATAATCCAAACCATGGATAGATATCTAACTGATAATGGAAAGCACGCATAGATAAATACCTGATTATGCAAACCATGCGTAGATGAATACCTGATAATGCAAACCATATTTAGATATATAACTGATAATGCAAACCACGCATAGATAAATACCTGATTATGAAAACAATGCATAAATATATAACTGATAATGCAAACCATGCGTAGATAGATACCTGATAATGCAAACCATATTTAGATATATAACTGATAATGCAAACCACGCATAGATAAATACCTCTTTATGCAAACCACGCATAGAAAAATACCTGATAATGCAAACCAGGCATAGATTAATACCTGATAATGAAAACAATGCATAAATATATAACTGATAATGCAAACCATGCATAGATAAATACCTGATAATGCAAACCATGTATAGATATATACCCTATAATGCAAACATTAATATTACCTGATACTGTCAAATGGAAAAGCTGCGTAGATTGATGCTTTTATATGCAATGCAATAAAAGCAATGTATTTATTGATATTGAAAAATATGTGTCCATTGTATTTATTGACACCCAACGATACCAATGTTGTGTTAAGCAATATCCGTCTATGCAAATCATGCATTAAAAAGAGTGCATTTTCACGAATATGTCAGTTTTCATTTACTTGTATTACTGGATGCAGATCACTGTAGAACTAATTATTATGGTGTATTTCTAAGTAATACAGGGAAATTCTATGATGTATTTCAATGCAAAGACATCTCTTTCATGCAGTGGGTGTCCTAGTGTGAATGGTGCCCCGGACCATATATTCAAGGAGACTTTATTTATTCTGACACACCGGTCCAATTTCGCTAGCTGCATATATCAAGGGTGATTTTGAGGCTTATGAGTGATGTCACTACCATCTATCTCTACCAACTCATATTTACATATATTGTCTAACAATACTTCACGTAGAATACCGTTTTATAGGTCTTGGATCGTTTGTTTCTATGCATTTGATCGTTTTTATTCGCCAAGTCTCACAGTTTGTCAAATTTAAGCGTATCGCTGCAATTCCAATCGTCTGGAAATTTCATCTTTTGGTTGGAAAATCTTCTCGGCTTACAATTGAACCATTTTGTAAAATTCCACTTCTGCCTGATCAGATTGAAATAAATACTTGAATTCTTCTTCCTCTTGTTGCGAAGGGGATTTTTTGCCGGTGGTCTGTGAAGTACATTGACATCGAAACAATCGGCAACTTTCAATCCAAATTTGCGAACTGTCAAAAAGAAATCTATATGTTCTTGTGTTTTTATACTTGCGTCCCAACCCCCCATCTTTAGCAGCTGCTCTAAGGGAGCCAGAAATGCGTTCAGTACTATATCTGTGACGTAACATCGGCCAAAACACTGTAATCTTTCAAAATACACAAATGGATATTGCAGTAGGTCCACTGTTTCATTGGAAGATGTTGTTGTTGATGTATTTTGTGCATTTGGATATGTTGGACGAACCATTAATACACCTTCAAAGGGGTGATTGGGTTTGCATGTCGCACCAGCGATTGTTAAATCAGTATGCTCTAGCAAGTCAACAAGTTTAGTAATGTTTGTCTTACTACTAAAGACCATATCATCATCAGTGAGGAACACATATTTTGTTTTTACAAACTTTAATGCAAGGTTCCTACCATAACTTATACCTGCATTATCATGTGCCTGATGGTATATCGCATTTGTTGCATTTCTAAAGAAGTGTTGAAGGTCAGCGTTCCTTGCAAAGTCCTCGTTAAAGTCATCGATGACAATGCATTTCATATTGGGATAGAATTCCCATACACTGAGTAATAACCGCTTGACGAGATCTAATCGTTTAGAAGTTTTAACCGCAAATGTAACCATGTCTTCAATCGGTGACAGAGGCCTGATGTATTTCGGTTGCCGATATTTAACAGGTTGTCTTCCTGGGTTTATCTTGTGGCAGGTCCTATGAGAACAGTTGACTCCAGGATGAGACTGTATTACGTCATACCCTGATACATATTTACCATTAGGGCAGTTAACGCAAGTATGATATCCAGATTCTTTGTCACATGTCATCGAGTTTGTCCAAATGAATGTATCCTCCGTTGAAATGTATTGTTTCTTATGATTTTGGAAATCCATCGAATCGGGGTCATCCTCCTGTTCTGGTTGTTTTAAATTTTTCTTTTTTGCCAGATCATCTTTATTGTAATAGTACAAGTAAATAACGAAAGAGAAAAATAATATTATCAAGATTCTGACGATGAGGTACAATTTCATTTTGACGTTGTTGAGAATAAAGCTGTTGAAGACTCGCCAATGTTATAAGATATCATAACTCAACCTATAATGTTATATAGAAATATTGATTATCCAGGGAGATCGTACATCTGTCCGTGCGATAACTCATGCACAGGTTGACAGATTCGGTTCGGCTAACCTTTCCACAAAGTAAAGAAAATCGATAATTTCCGGCGCGCTGATTGGTTGTATGCAAATGAGTCAAATCAATGACGTCAATGACTGAAAGTTTTGAAGAATTAGTACAGCCAGCATAGGAATATTTTGAATAAACTACAATAAAAGGGATTCTATTTGCCCAAGGCACTAATTGTTTTTAATCAAATATGAAATATGGACAGGGCACTTTCATTCTGAACCTTATGTCATTTAAATTAATCATTTTTTGACCGCACTATTGTTTATTAAGACTTCTGAGATCAGCTTCACATACCCGGGCTCACATATCTCGTGCGATTGTAAACAAAAAATGTAAATGGTGAAGTTACAAACAACTCTGTTAATTATCTGATAGTGGTCATACAATATCCTGTTAAATTGTTATATGTCGTAGTAAGAAGTTCCATCAGAAATTCACCATAAGTAACATTTCGCAAACGAAACCAATCGAATTGAAACACGATTTGTTTGACATTTTGTTATTGAGGATCGATCCCATCTCCATAATACATATTAACAAAATATTTTCAAAAGCATGGATATGTTATGGTAACTAAAACCATGGGCTTTCAAGATCATGAAAGCCCATGACTAAACTAACTTTCTTTTAATTGGAACTTTTTCCAGTTGCCATTTCAGTAAAACGTATAACGGGTTTCTCGCTAAACGCAACTGGGCCTAATTAAATAACCTTCATTTCATCCCTCAAACTTGGAGAACGCCCATTGGCTATTAAAAAGATAACTTCGAAGCCAAATTTTCTATCCAAAAAGCTAGACTTAAACCATTACTTTATTAATTACCAAATGAAAGTTCATAGTACGTATACGATATCGTTACCTTTTGGTATTTATTCGCCATCAGCGATGTCAATAACGATCAGCAATGTCAACATATCATAGATAAATATTTACAAATACTGTACAGCAAAGATAAATGTATGCAACTGCATAACATGAACTTTTCTTTTATTTAGGATCCAGCAGGATACCATCGATATCATTTGAATAAAGATGAGAACAACTATCCCAAACAAAATAAATCGGGAATAAATTGCATTGTACCGATGTGCACGTCTTATGGGACAAGCGAAGGTTGATGAGAAATTTGTCACATATATTAAAGTGCCAGGAAGTATGAAAAACAAATGGCTTATTGCGATGCATAGGGTTGAAGATAAAAAGTTTCAATTAACTTCATTGAGTAGAGTTTGTTCTTTACATTTCGAAAATAATGAGAACGCTTAGAAAACAAACCTGAATATGCAGCGTGTCCTGAAAACTTCACTTGTGAAACCTCACTTGTCATGGGATAAATTAGTTATGTGGCGATCGGTTTTGAATAATGATCACTGGAAAGACTTCAAAGAAATATCGTAGCGTATATCATATATTCTGATTTTAAATACCATTTTTGTGAGTCTTGGATTATTAATGCGAACTATTTATCTCGTACCATATGATATACGATCTTCACACAAATCATGGTATATAAGTTTTTTATTCCATAATACTACTGTTTTCCCAGGGAAATATGAAGGAATAAAAATCGTATTGAATCGTATTACATGAAAAAATCGTATTGTCCCCGGGAAAAAATCGTATTGGAGCGTATCACATGAAAAAATCGTATTGTCCCCGGGAAAAAATCGTATTGGAACGTACTAACCTATTTTTGGTTTTTCCTGTTATTTCTAACCTTAGCTAATTGATAAAAGCATTTTCAAAATGTAACATTTTAGAGGAATGTATCATGGAATAAATAGGTTATTTCTGGTCGGGATTGAATATGGGTTTCATTCCTCAGAAAATATGATATTGACCTTGGGAAATATCATATTGACACTCGGTCGCTGCGCTCCCTCGGTCAATATCATATTACCCTTCGGTCAATATCATATTGTCCCTCGGAATAAAACCCATATTCAATCCCTCCCAGTAAATAACCTATATATATCGCACGATGCTCATATTTCCCGGTGAATACATCTGTAAAACTAGTATGCAATATGGCATTTGAAAAACACCGTCCAGTATAATGGTGTGAATGACATATTTACCTTGGAAATTCCTTCACAAATCTTTTTATATATGGGGATTTAATATTAAATTTATTTCCTCGGAAAATAGCTAGTCTTGCTCAAAGACCGTGTCCATCCCCCCCCCGTCACCTTCACTCTCTTTACCGGGCAATATACACCTAGAGAGAAGGATAAAGGGGGGGGGGTACAGAGTCTTTTAAGCAAGACTAGAAAATAGCTTACCGTTAATCCTTGGAATATATCCAATACAATAACCTCTCTCAGTAAAGAATTGGCTCTCAATCTGATTTGACCAGGTGAATATGATATTTGTAATGGATATTAGCAATCGTTATTATGAACTTGTATTGTAATTAGGGTAACTATACAAATCAATAATTAAAGTACATGAGAGGGCCCCCTCCGGAACATATACCACGGGTACACTTACCGAGACGGATAACTGTCAACAGATCAATGACCGGCAATGAATCTCTTGTCAATTACTAACCTTGGTTCAATAATATTATTACCAAAAGGGCATAAACATATGTGAATGTGATGTATAATATCAAATCGATGATTATTTTATGATAACTTACCATTTTGAAGCAGATAAATTGACTGAAAGTACCCAGAGCTTTACATGTAACTCAACCGGATTTGTGCTTTCGCGGGAAAAGTTTCCATCGTTGACGTCATAGATTTTTAAGCGGCTCATTATAATATTCATGAGCTGACTTTGTGGAAAGGTATATATATAGGCCGTTTAGGCAGTCTGATTGACAAATGTTCTCTCCACACCCAGTCTACATCGGGTGAAAGGTATATGAGCGATAACAATGCACGTAATGCGCTTGGACCTCTGCCTCTTACTCTAACTAGACTGGTATAAACTAGAATACATACCAATTAAAAAGTTGCCAATACAGTTTCCGGGGTATACTTCGCACTGATATCTATCTGCCCCCACGACCTCTATATCACCCTTGGTATACGCACCTAACGAAAATTGACCGGTACGGGTCAAAAGCTGGACCGGTACGGGTTATGATGCCTCCCGATGCTTTTAAGTACCCCAATTTTTTACAGAATTTTAAACGGACCAAAACTCTCTAAATTCGCATTTATGCTCTTTTCTCTCATTTTCACGATAACTTTTATTTAGTACTTTCAGGCCCGTAAGACACTTTTCTCTAAGGGGGGTGCGGTTTTTAGCTTACTAAAGAGAATATATAATTGTCAATTTTTTTGCCGCGTAAATCAAATCGCGCAAGACAGAGGGGGGGGGGGTCAGTTACTCCCTATATTGGTTTGGAATTAACAAATGCAACTTCCAAACGTTCCAATTGTTTTGTGGGGGGGGGGGTGAGGAGCAGCCCACTCTCCCTAGAAAATTTTACAGTTTTGGGATGCTATTTGGTGCTTTCTGGGCACTTTCAAAGTGTAAGTTTCTAAGTAGTTCGCCACCACCACAAGAATAAGAGTTGAGTGAATAAAAACCGAACATTTAGGGGGGTATGGGGGTTCTCCCCCAGGAAAATTTTGAAAGTTGGTTGTATTTGGAGCGAATTTGCAACCATCTGGTACGCCTGTGCGTTATGAGTAAGAAAAATGTGATTTTTTTTTCAAATTCTTTTGGGGGTGTCAAAGAGGATGAGAGGGTGAAGTTGGGTGGGGTGCCAGTAGGGGAGCAAGTGGTTGTCCCCCAGAAACATTGACCATATCAAGGTGCTATTTGATGATGTCTGGGCACTTAAAAAATGTCTGAGACAATACATGAAATACAGAATATTTTATTTTGTTTTGTGGGGGATGTGAGGGGTGGCTAACTCTCCTGAAAAATTTTACAATTTAAAGATTATATTTGGTGCTTCTGGGCACTTTTAAAGGTATTAGTCAATAAAAACATTGAAAAACAATCACAACTTTTTTCAAATTTTGTGGGTGTCAAAGGGGGGGGGGGAGGGGTGCCAGAGGGGGAGGTGGGGCTGGGGTGCCAGAGGGGGAGCAAGTGTTTGTCCCCCATATCAAAATTTACAACATCAAGGTGCTATTCGATGAAGTTTGGGCACTTTAAAAGTGTCTGAGCCTAAAAGCGCATATTTCCCAAGAAAATTTTACAATTATAAGATGCTATTTGGTACTTTCAAAATGTATGAGTCAATAAAAAAATTTGAAAAATCTCAATTTTTTTTTTTGGGGGGGGGGTGTTAAGGGGGGGGGGGGCTGCCAGAGGGGGAGGTGGAGTGGGGATGCCAGAGGGCGAGTAAGTGTTAGTCTTCCAGAATCATTAACTTTATCAAGGAGCTATTTGATGATGTCTGGGCAATTTAAAAGTGTCTGAGACAATACATAAAACAAATTCAGAACTTTTTCATTGTTTTGTTTGGGGTGTGAGGGTTGGCCCACTCCCCCTAGAAAATTTTACAATTTTATGACGCTATTTGGTGCTTTCTGGTCATTTTCAAATTGTATGAGTCAATTAAAGAATTTGAGAAAATCACAATTTTTTTTTGGGGGGGGGGGGGTCAAGGGGGGGGGGGGGGGGGGCGCCAGAGGGGTGGGGGATTATGCAAGATGCAAGAGGGGGAGCAAGTCCCCCAGAAACACTAACTATATCAAGGAGCTATTTGATGATGTCTGGGCACTTTAAAAGTGTCTGAGACAAACACTAAAATAAATTTAGAACTTTTCCATTGTTTTGTGGGGGGTGTGAGGGGTGGCCAATACCCCTAGATCATTTTACACTTTTAAGATACTATTTGGTGCTTTCTGGGTACTTTCAAAGTGTATGAGTCAATGAAAATAAAATTACAAAAAAATTATTTTTCAAAAAAAAATTCTTTTCAAATTTTTTTTTTCAAATTTATTTTGG